GCTCCTCGGATGCGATGGTCTGCTAATGTAGAATGTTACCATACGATTTTAATTTTTATATTAGATATTTTTTAGGTTAAATGCATGGATAAAAGAGGAAAAAAGTACTAAAAGAAAAGAAACAACGAGAAAGAGATGGCATTGCAAATCACGGGGAGGTGATATTCTTTCCAAAGAAGGCACGGATGCTCGGCTGATTATTTATCAAGGCAATCCCAGTTCCCAACTGCCGTTTTCCTTTGAATATTACTACTATAGCTCTTTGGATTTTGTGCTTCCTATCATCTTAATTTCTCTCATGTATCATAGTAACCTATTTTACTTTCCCTTCTTGTAATGTAAGACAAAGTTTCATATGCACACCCTTTTCAAATCAAATATTGGTTATTCAACGCTAAATATATACCATAGCATGCCTCTGTACATGTTTAGTAATTTTCACACATTATTTATTAAATAATTTAAGCTGTGTATGTTTAAGGACAACTTTAATTTAAATTTAAAAATAATAATTTTTTATTGAGTATGTTATGAAATGTGTTGAGTTATAAAGAATTTGTATTAATATCCATTTTTTTTTATAGAAAAATTATTGATATACTTTTGGGTTTAACACATTTGCCAACATTTATTGATTTATCGATTAAAATCTATAATTTTAAGTTTTCTTACTTTTAATTAAATTTAAAAATAATAATTTTAATGAATATATTAAATTAAAGGATATCTGTATTAGTGTTCTTTTTTTATTTATGATTTTGCATGATATTTAATAATTGGCTTTTTTCACTTTATTGAAATATGTAATGTTATATATATCAACTTATTTAATGGTATGTAAATGTTATAAATAAAAATTATACAAATAAGTTGTCCACACACACACAGATATATATATATTTGTTGAAAGGCAAAAACAAATAGTATTATTAATGGAGTACAAGTGCTTGAGGGGTACTCAACCCATATCCAGAAAAGTTACAGAGGAAGTCCCAAAATAGCCATAGTAAAGTCAGCCAACAATTTTACATTGCCTAGGATTGAATAGCCAATCTGAGAGGCAGAAAAGTGGATCCTTACCTTTCTTTTTGGAGCATGTGCCAGAGCTCTTGAAATGTTTCAATGTTGATGACAATAATCTTCCCGATAAATGTCCATTAATGCTTGGTTGGTCAAATAAACTCAGATATCGCAAAGAAACATTCAAGAACTTATATTGAGAGGCACAGAATCTACCATATGGCCCAGGAATTATCCCCCGAGAATGTATGCTAACTTATTCACACACATTTAAGGGTTTGGTGTTTTAGTTTATTAATGTTAGTTTGTTTATCTTTAATGAAGATTACTTGGGATCCATACACTGCTAGAGGCCTGCATGCAGGCAGTGCAAGAGAAGCAAAGGTGTTTCTAAGCATGACCTTGGGCCAAATATAAGTTCGTGATCAATTTGCTTATGTTAAAGATTGTTGGTCGAAGTGTGCTTGCAGAAACCCTAAATATGGATCTTATATTGAAATGTGGGCTGAGAGATTCCAGAACTTATTTGCAGTGCCTTTTCCAGATTAGATGCTCGATTTTTCTAATACATATTTCTGTTTGTTCTGCAGTTTTTTTTTTTTTTTAAATGCTTCATGCTTAATTATTTTGGAAAATTTTCTGTTTTTTTCATAATTGCTTTGTTGAGACATGGAAGAGAGGGAGCTTGCAGAAGATGAGGAAGTGCAGGAAGGCTTACAAGAAAAGGAACCCACAGTTGCAAAAATGTTTCAAAAACTGCCTACAAAACGAAAGGGCATGACTCTAGAGAGATTGAAAGATGCTGCATCAGGTACAGAGCTCCAAAAGATGGAAAGGTATAACACCTTTACTGGCTTTTGGTAATAAATTTTGTATGTCCATTCTAATAATCTGTATCAAATTTTTCTATAGGGAAGAAAAGGCGGATGGAAGAAGAGGCTTAATGTTTTGCAGGCAAGTAAGCATAAATTTAGATAAGTTTAGGGCGCTGTCTTGTGTGGTTACCAGCAGTTTTAGACATATAAGAATGTGAATTAGATTTTTGTTTATGAATTATTAGAATGAACATGCAAAATTTAGTGCTTTAATGGATTTGTGCCCATTGAACCTCACAAGAAGACGAGAGGAGGGAAACCACTTTTCATGATACCAGTACATTCCGCTTGCACACTCTTCTTATAGGTTTCTTGTACTTGTAAAATTCCTAATCTATCCTTATTAACCAATTAACCTGTAACAATGAACTTAACCTGCACCAACGATTTATTGGTCCGTGGAAGGAGCTCGGTTCCCGTTAAGCAAGATTTCGAGTTCGAGTTTTGTGAATAGAAAAACAGGCGTTGAGAGAGCTTTCTCTCATATGGGGTTCGACTTGGTTCGATTCCAAATTAGTTAGGGCCAATGGTTACTGGATACTGAAATGGTAGTATAAAAAAAAAAAAAAGAAAGAACTTAACTTGCCAAAATTGCCATTGCCTATTTAAAAAAAAAAAGCCAAAATTGGAACGTACCTAGAAATTGGACCCACCTTATCTGTCATGAGTGGTATTATAAGTACAAAGTATTAATCTCAAATTCAATATGATTAAAATTAGGGATGAGCTGAGAACGTCTTTGTGGTGCAGGGGTTACCTTGTCTTTATGGCTTAGTTCTCATGCCAAAATTGGAGGTGTGAAGTTTGAATTTCATCTTTAACATTCAAATAAAAAAAAAAAAAAAGGCGTGAGCGTTTTTTTTTGCAAGTCAAAATTTGAGTTATATTTGATACTTAATTTTAAAATTTTTTGTATAGCTTTTTAGACATAATATTTACCTAAATATTTAATAACTTACATTTGGTATTTAACTCAATAGGTATTGGGTTACCTGTGGATATATAGTTATGTACTTGGCTTACGAAAAAAAAAGTTTAATATGAGATGTTATTGTTACATATGTTATGTGTATGGCTTACGGTTTATTATTTGTACGAGTTATTACATATACCGCACTTTTCCAAAGACAGTTATTTAGATATTTTCTCAGGCATGCTGATTTTCCCCTTTATTTATCTAATTTTTTTTTAACGATATTTAGGCCTCAAATATAGCGTCACCACGGAGAGCACTCCCTTTTCCTCACCGTTATTTCACTCGTTTGAAGGCAAATTTCATGGCAGATGAAACGGAACTAAGGAACAATCTCAAGACTCCGAAGAGCAACCGCTGGCCAGATTGGAAGAAAAAAATAACATGAGCATGCGCAGTAAGGCTGAAAAAATGAATGAGCTAAACAACTTGCTCATGACAATGTTAAAAGGGAAGCAAAAAGGTGAAGAAATGCCTACATCCAGCAATGAGAATCGTTTGTAGGTATCTGGGGGCATCCCTTCATATGTAAGCCCAATGTTCAGCTAGTCAAGAATATATAGACCACATTCACCTTATCCCAACTACATTCCAGTCTCTACGCGGTCACATATAATCAACCGATTGTGGTGCTGTTTCCTGATAAGATTGTTATAATATTTTCATATAAATTTCCAAAGAAAGCTACTTATAGTACATTGTACACGATTATCTTTGTTAGTGAACAACAATCCCCGTCGAAGTACCATAAAAGGCAGGCTTGATGACGCACTATCTAAACCAGAAGCGAGCTCATTAGACTTTTTCCTCAAGTACTGTAATAGGACAGGATTTAGACTCTTTTTTTTTTTCTTTTTTATCTAAGTAATTGTACCAAAGAGATATGGTCAAGCAATAGTTGCTAGTTTGGTTCAACATCAGCTTAAATCTCTGGTGGGAAGAAGTCAACTGGATGAAGCCAATAAATCAAGGGGAAAAAGATAGGTAGAGGAACGAAGAAATCAGGATAGGGAGGGAAGAAGGGAGAATGAGAAATCAAGATCTAATACCTGACCTGTGAATTGACTTGATTAGATAACGATGATCATATGGGTGAATGGCCTACCAGCCCATGGTAACCTGATGCTACTTGTACTCGAGGAAAGGAGCACATATTGAAAGACTACTTTATGTCTCACTTGGTTACTATTTGCAACAGTAGAAAAAAATAATAAAAAAAATTATAGACATCTTGTAGAAAGAAATAGTAAAAATTTATAGACATCTTAAATTCATAATTATTATGTGTGGTATAAAATTTCTATGTGTACGATCTGTACAAAGACACGAACATGGCCTTAAACCTTTAAGCTATACTTAGTTGAGCTAGCTCAAGTTATGAAACAAATACCGATTTATTGATTTTTGGTACATATCAATGTATTGCTCCTTTTTAATTCCTCGCTACCATTCGAATGATAAAATTATTTAATTTTTTATTTTGTTCACAAAAATTCAATTTTTTTTTTTCGTAAATTTTCTAGTGTATTTTTTAAATTTTTTTTTAAAAAAAAGGTTGGTTGTTTGGGAACTAGACAATCTCACACGTCTCCAATCCTGTGAATCCAATTAGAAATCCTAATTTCAATGTAAATATGTTAGCTAAGGGCGGGTGCGTTGCGCTGGCTGCTGCACGGTTCCATTGGTAAGTATTTAGAACATCCAACTATTTTAATGTCGCATTTAGTTATAAGTTAACATTATTTAACTCAACTACTTAAGTAATCTCTGCGTGTGCTTAAAACAATTTTCTTTGTTTAGTATGTGTTAATTAGATGTGTGATCTTAAACTTTCTCATATATATATAGTCACAAAAAGTGACTCAATCCTCTTTCTACATGATAAAAATAATAATGATGCAACAACGTTACATTCCTACGCACTAAATACTTGACTTAATAATGTTATTTCAGTCACTTTCTCATATTTTAAAATTAATTTTTTCTTAAATGATTTTAAGGACATATCTTCACATTAGTTTGAAATTTTTTAAAAAATTAAAATTTTTAAGTAAACTATGAATCTTAAGTAAAAGACAATACTAACCTAAATGGGGCATATTTCTAAGAATGTAGTGAATTTACAATATAACACTAAAGAATATTAAAAAAATGTTTTTGGTAAATAAGAATATAAAAAATTAGTGTTTCAAAATTGAGTTTCTACCACGAGCTTGATAAGCTCTTCGAAATATATATTTCTAAGTATTCGATTGGTTTACATTCATAAAGTTGGCTGTTTCAGGTTGAGGGAGCACCAAATGAATACATTTCTCTATTTTCAATAATTAAATTTTATTATAATTTTTTAAATAAGAAAAATATATACATATTAATATATATTACTCAAGATAAAGAAAAGATTTTGGTGAGAAGGTTTAGATGATGAAATAGAGAGGAGAATTAAATTTAAGTAACAACAATAAAGTGGGAGGAAAAAGTAATCATCCGCCTTGAAAATTAAAATTTTAACAAAGCATGATTTGTTGTTTGAGTAGTGTTTTCTGATTTATTCAACAAATATGTTTTGGGTTTTTTTTTTTGGGTTAAATTACTCTGATTATGAATTTAAAAAGCTGGGATGTATATCTTTCTTTTCATTATTTTTTGTCCACATGCGCAATGGCTAGACAAATTTTATAATTCGTTCATATAGAAACCTCTGCAGCCAAGATGTGGTCTACGTCTACTAAAGGTGTCAGAAGGTCATGTATGCTCTTTTTTGTTTTTTTTTTCGAAGGAACCAATGTCATGTATCCTTAGAAACTACTAAATTCAAATTTTTAATTAATTATAGACGAAGTTAATGTATATTAATGCTTACTACTTATTAAATTTTACTGTCATTAAAGTTTGAAATGTAT